CTAACTACAGTGGATCTTGTGTAGAGCTTGAGACTAATACGTGAATTTTATATCCCCTCTAAATGTAGGATATCGATGCGCCTATATACATCAATACTCTGTTACCCCTCAGCTCCACTGAGATCTGCTCTTGTTACTGTGCGATCTGATTGTGTGAGATCATACGGCACTAGCATTTTATCTTTGTGCCGTACATCCAAAATCTGATCAACCCGTGACCATGTAGATCTTTTCAGGATCCACAACGCGACTGTTTCCTCGCCTCGACCTGGATTCAGCCTCTTCAATGACTCTGCAGCTGCAAAGCTCTTCCAACGTCGTCGAAAAATAGCTTAGTGCAAACGATGTCTTGGCTTCCATGCCTCTTGCGGTTGCTCCCGCGCTCCGGTTTGCTGGAACTGCGGATCAAAAATTGACTCAAATGAGGACTGCAAAGCCCCCACACAGTGTCGAAACTGTGGGGGACCTCAGCGATCGGATTCGCGGTTCTGCGAAGCTAGACTTAACAAATTCGGCCCGGTAAAAAAAGAGCAGCTCGCGATAATTCGCAAGTTCGAGCAGGAAGATCACGCTGATTATGCTGGTATCAGAGCTGCAGCCGAAATAGCAATTCAGGCGATTCACGGCTGGTAGAAAGATGTCTACATGTCAGACGGATCAGGTTTTCGGATTCTGGAATTCGCAGAGGAGGTTAAAGGTTACGGCGAGCCTCAGTGAAGTCGTCGAGGCTTCAACACGTTAATAGTAGGACACCGACTGGAGAAAGGGTGCCTGCGAGCTCATCTTTTGCTCTTAGCGAAGGTCAGGAATTGTCACTTGGAAGATGTGACAGGAAAGGGGACGGATGAGAAGCGCGGGATGCGGACCTAATTGGGACTTCTTCTAAATTCGATTTTAGATTTTGATTTTAGATTCACTGTGGACACCATCATTTATGTGGAATTCAATGCGGTTGGAATGAGCTGGGCCTGTACACAGTGATCCTTACCGTATCCACCGGTCCTGTACCAATAGTAGGATGTAGAGCTTTTTACTTTAGCTCAGGACTCTAAAAATTCAACTACAACAACACAATCTCGCAAGCGAATGTAAGCAAAGAATATTTCTTCGCCTTCAAGTAGTGCCGGTGTAATTGTTCAGTATGCTCTGTATATCTATGAAAGCCAAGAATAATCGCATCCGAATCGAAGTCGAAACAGATTAAAGCATATCTACTACCGACGATTTATCATCAATTTTGGCCCTGTCATTCTCATGCGGTTCCAACTTAATCTTACCAAAAACTACCTTGCTTCGACAACCGATAAAGGCATTATTACAATTGCAAAGGAACTTGCTCCAGTAATTACCGATCATTAATCACTAGCAATTTACGACGCTACATATATCCGTAAGGAGGAAATTCAGTCATAATATGCAAAGCTAAGGTCTTGGTTTACAGGAGACTGTTGTCCTAATGGGGCTATAAAATCTAAAGGAATGGATCTATCGTGGGCATGCTGGGACTGACATTTTTGTGGTGTTTCCGACTTTGGAACGGTTGTGGTCGCCAAGACACAAACTTCGAATTATAAGCCATGGGATGTTATATTCTCGATGAGTCTACAGCGTTCTCCAGCACTCAAGGTGACACGGATAAGTAGGGCTTAGCTACTATGCAGCCAACATAAACTATCATGGCATTTCTGAAATTTCAACATCGCCTTCTGAAAAGAGTTTGAAAGAGGCTAGAAACACAGAGCGTGAGTTTTCTTGGGTGCACCCAAATCTAGAAAGCTCAGCTGCCCGGCCTCTCTGCGAGCTTCAGAATGGTGAGTATGTGTTAGGATTTAGTCCTAATGTCAGTATTAGAATAGTCCCACACTCAGTGGTTTTTGCGAGACTTCCCGCCTGCCATACACCCGCAAGTGGCTATCATTTAGTCGATTGACCGTCGCGGGATCAATTGATGATAGTAGACACCAGAGCAAGTCCGAAAGTAAAGTCAGTTAATTATTCTAATCTACAGAAGAGCCCCGAATTGTTACTCCCAATATTACTAGTTATATCTCTACCAATATCATGGTCTCGGGGTTCACGGCATTGATTACCAGCCTCACACAACCAGCCCAGCGATAACTAACCTCACAGGAGGGCAAGACTCAACAACTGTATGCGGTGTCCTTTACGAACCTGGGAGTGAAATATACCTCCAGAGCCAAGTTCAGTCAAATTTCGCAATATCAAAGAAGTTGGCCCACGAGGCGATGATTCAAAATACTCCGCCATGTCATTTTTTCGCTCCCAACGAGTTCGAATCCTACCTCAGTCTCATCAAGTCTACAAGTACGACCTATTATATCCTCATTCCAATGACCACACCACTCTTTGACCTTCTCTGGCCTCAGTTAACCACCAAATACACACACGCCGATATTTACACCCGACAGAGGAAGCAGAGCGTGGCGCACAAATCTGTGAGACAGTTCTTTGGAATTGGCGTGAGAGGATTCAGGACAAGTTCACAAGATGATGCGAAGGATGGATATAGTCTCGACGGGTGCGGAATTTCGAATTTCGGCAAGGAGTTTTTACAACTTGAGCTTTGTGCGTGCCAAGACTTCGGTTGCGAGAGTGCAAGCGACACTATAAACACCGCCATAGCTGGATGGTGCGGTGGTACATCGTCTTGGCCGGTCTGCCAAGTAGAGTCTGGATAGCTTGGACACATATCCCACTCGAGGCAGTAGGTCGCTGGTTCAGATCCGGCAAAACACAACCACATTTCTCGCGGCGCTGGTATGCATGGATGACGAAGGCATGCTTGGATAACCAAAGGTTTTGAAATTCCCTTTTGTGGGTACTTACGGAGGAGAGTAGATAAACTGGCCAAGGAAGCATCAAAAATTTCAACAGAAATTAATGACACTAGCTTTGCTATAGCAAGAAATACAATTGAAAAAAGGTTCTAGCAACAATGGCTGGGATACCTTCAAAATAATGATCAAAAAAGGCAACAAAATCCACTGTCATATAGATAAGTTAACAGTTGGAAAATTAACAATAAAATTGGTCTACCATTAGGAGTAGAAAGAAAAGTGGCCAGTGCGTTTTTTCAACTTAAAACTGGTCATGGGTATAACAACTCCTATCTCTATAGGCAAGGGCAAAGAAGCAGTTATAGGTGTACATGTGGGGGTCGAGAAACACCTGAGCATCTTCTCCTAAGTTTTAGCAACTATAGACATGAAAGAATGGAACTCAAAAGGAGCCTTAATGGGAACCAACTTAGCCTTAAAATATTAATGAGCACAAAGATTGGGATTGAAAAAACCCTGGAATATATCAAGAAAACAAACATATCAACAAGGAGATGGTATTTGGAGAGGGTGGAAGGTGGAGACACAGCATAAATTATTGCATCAAATGAAGATTTAAGAAAGAGGAGGAATAACAAATATATTAACTCAGGGTAAAGTCCTCATTGTCTATTGGAAAATATTGAAAAAACAGTATATATAAAAACAAGTGAATTTTGGTGGTTTAATGTCTACTTTCAGCAGTCCTTCATAGTCATAGACTAAATAGGGACTTAAATTTAATTCTATTCTATTCTACGGAGGAGGAGAGTCGACTGTTTGTGTAAGCGAACATACCTCAGTGGTATTTGCGAATGAAATCCAGAATATGAGTGTCTCTAACGTCAAAAGAGTCATCCAACGTGTATACATAACACCGGTCATGTGTCATAGCTCTATAGCTAAATACACATTGAATAATTTAAAAAAAATCTAACATCACGGCAATCAGCCTCATCAAAGCTATCCTGGTGATTACAAGCCTCGTGTGGCATATGTTGCTCGACTCAGTATTGGCGCAGCCAGTACCAATCTCACGGATCTATCCCGTAACATTGACGAGGAGAAATAATCAGTGTTTAGAGGCTCCTCAAATCTATATCGAGTGAGGACTTGTGAACAGTGGTATTACTAAAAGGGAGCTATATGGGAGTCATAGGAGGTAATTTGCTACTAGTATAGGTATAGGTATCCTTAGTGTTGGATAGGCTGTGCCTCGGTATCTGATCAGATAACAATGTACGTTGGGATAAAGATGTTCTTGTTTAAACTACAATAGTGATACATCTGTTGGTTCCACTCAGGTTGGGTGTTGCGACCTCAGGCCATTAGGCTCGGCAGACAATAATAGCTGACTAACATTGAGAGGCCTGTGCGTCTCATCAAATCCATAGACGTTCGAAACACCCTAGATAGATGTAACAATAATATATGCAATTCAGTACATTCTATTTCCATTCCCAGCACTAGTGCTCAAGTCCTGTCAACAACATCTATGATAAACTTACACGAGGCTGACTATTCAGCCTTGTACCCTTATATTGAGCGAAGACCTCATCACAATGTTACTACCACACGAAATACTAAAACTACTAAGTTGTCGAAGAGTAACCTGTGTAATGACTAACAACACTTAGTCTGTAAGCAGAAAGAACCTGCATGTCCTTCATAGTCATAGACTCAGACAGGACAATAAATGAAATTTTAATAAAAAGTAAGAAAGGACAAAAATAATTTAAAAAATAGCCAGGGCTAACGGTCATGCACGCAAGTCAGTCTAGCCAACTGATAGTTGGTAAGACTGTATCATACTCCATAGCCGTGGGGACTGGAGCGGATAAGGAAGAGCCACATGTTTTACTACTACTATTTTAATTTCAAAGTAACTCTAAAACTCGCTATAAAATGTGACTGTCACTATAGTACCATTTATCTCGCAGACAGAAACACCAGACAATTAAAACAAATTGTGAATTCTCAGTGACAAGGATCCTGAAAACGCTTGAGCCTGCAAAATTTGGCAACTCATTTGCTCCTACATAGTTATGCACCCCACACACTTGAACTCCCTTTGATTGAATTCTCATGGCACCATATCACCCTACTCATTATGGCTTCGAGATTCCTCCATAGAAGCTGCCTTCCTGCCGTTTCCAAACGAAACTATGCTTTAGCAGGCATAGTAATAGTCTCGACAAGCTTGCAGCTGGGTGCGATCCCGTCCACTGTCGCTTGGCAAGTTTGGACCTTCATCTTTTCTGCCCTTTTATATCCAGCAAACCCCGAATGATTTACTACTTCGGGTGACAAATCCATTCGACGGTCCATTTTCGCAAAGGCCCTAGAATTTATGGTAGGGTTTGATAGATCTTTATCAGAACGCCGGGCCTTCCCAGTTGAGCCCCCTGCTTGAACTGTAACGTCTTGGAACTTACCCGATTCGCTATCGAAAACCTTTTTATCTGTTGTCACAAAGCCGGCACCGACATACTTTTTGACTGAAAATGTACCGTCCGTGAAATCCGTTGAAGCTTCGTCGAGAAGTGGTAGTGTATCGATGGTGACGTTCTTGCCGGCAATTTCTCGCTTAAAGGATTCTTTACAATCGTTACGATTGGGGATTTTGCCAACATTGTCGCTGAAAACTCCACACAACTGGGCAACGGTTGCAGTCTCAAGAGTCTTGCGCTTTCCTGAGTTAAACAATGCAGCAATTTTTTCCATATCGAGGTTTAGAGATTGGACGGGCTTATTGCCATTATCAGGCTGGCCATCGAGCCACATACAACGTTGCTGATTTCCGTCGAGTATTGTTCCAACGTTCCATTCATTGCCGCAGAGAAATCCGATGTCACCGATTGGAAGAAAAATCTCATCGCGGCGAGCTTGAGTATCGCTACCTTTGATAATTATATTTGAGACACAGATTGCATTTCCACCAGGCTGAATATCAACTGACTTCAGATTGAAGCCATTATTTGTTTTGAATGACTGGACAGGAGCTTCTCCATTCTTTAGCCCTTTGAATATATCGAGATCGGGGGTATCTAAGTCGCCGATAGGAAGAGCTTTGTTATTACGACACATGTCATCGGGGACTGTACTTGTACCCTGAAAGACTCCAAAAATCTCGGTCTTGGCAAAGTCAGTCAAAATGATAGATGGAGGATTACCGCCGGCATCCTGGTTATTTCCAATTTCTATACGAATGCTGTAAAAGTCGACCAAATTCTCCTGCGCATTGATGGAACTGATGATGGATTGTCCCGCATCGACGATCTTCAGAATACCGGCTATTCCAGCAATTAAAGCTGCCATGTCGGAAGATGTGACTTAGATGCCGAATCCAAGACCAAGAAAAATTGTATGGATAGAAAATGAGGTTGTTTTGAATGATTTGAATACCGGATAACAGAATTAAAAGAGTGGCGCTATGAGAGAAAGAATGAAATGATCAAAGGAAGTTGATTCTCTTGAGATATAATGAATGAGCAAAATGAATGAAATGTCGAACACAGTTCGTAATGGCTTTAAAGAAAGACGGTTGATGATGGAATTCTACCAAACTACTTCGCCTGCTTGGAGGTATTTATATAACACAAATTCAAGAGGGCTAGTACCATGTTTGGACAAAAATGAAAGCCAGGAGCCTGATGTTTGCTGGTATCAACCAAGTAAAGAGGGTCGGTATGCGAGTCATGATGTTTGAAACGCAGGCGATGCAACTCTCATCTTTAGAGATATCTTCAGGAATACCAGGGCATGAATTCAAAATGAATATGACTACCTACAAAACCGAAGCACTAACTACTACCTTGTTCGAAATAATGTGGTATCTTTGCATCCATGACCAATGGCAGCACTAACATAATATCGTATAACTGCGTATCTATATATACAAATTTATGAAACCAGTGAGCATTAACTCATGTGACTCTAATTCCGACATAGCTGTTACACTGGAATATGATTCAAGTGGTTTTGCTGCAAAGCAATTTTATTTTTAACTTTGGTTTAGTTTAATTAAGAGTTTATATTTATGATAAGTGTTGTGGCTCCTCGAAATCACACTAGAACCTCGAAAAAACTTGACTTTTCGCAATCGTATTGCGCCTTGGGGCTGAAGAGGCTGGTCCAGTTGAGCCGCGCACCGAGGTTAGAGAGTACTATTTAGTTAAAACAAACGGTCTGTGGCCAGAGACACAACCCACGCTCTGCTTCATATTTAAAATTGGAGAATTAAGACAAGCCAAGGCTATAACTTAGATTAAACCTGTAGCTATATGTAGTTTCAACGCCTCTGTCTACAAAACGCTAGAAAGCACTTAGCTCATTGTGGACAGTCTAGCCAGTCACTGATGGCAGGCTAAGGCACAGGATTCGGTGAGAAGATGAGTCCTGCAAGATTCTTGCGCCGGGAGAACCGAATCAAAATATCATAAAGATGCTAGTGCGGGTTGGATAAATGGAGAAGTCATGGTATATTTGAAGCTTCACTCTTTTCAGGAAAAAAAACTTTCTGGCAGAGTCAGACAAGAACTCCCACAATACAAAGTAATTTTTATAATTTACGGGCCGTGATACATGTCTGTGGCAACATATGTCATGCATCACTGGATGATTTTCTTAATCCAAGCTTCTTCAGGCTTGCATGTACTCTTCATACTCAAAGCGTTTCAAATTCAACTGAATTTCTCATAATTACCTGCCAGTACACAAACTGGTATCAAGCTTTGATCAAAAGGAGGTCTGAGTCATTCTTCATTGAGTTTACCTGTCACTCACCTCCATAGTCATGGACTCAGACAGAACTGTAATAAATCTAATCTTATACCTGTCACTCCTCAAGTGTAGATTCATGAGACACGCCAGCTAACAACTTTATATATGCCTTCTGTACAAGGCATCACTCAAATCCCCGAGACCAAACTTGCCGATGCAATAGATATTCGTCCACTGCCCGGCAACACCTAATTACAGGGACGTGTCAGCGACAATTGGTCTTCTCAACATCCAACTTGCAACACATGTCATAATTTTAGCTCAGATGTGGCGGAAATAAAACTTCCATCAGCCATGCTTTCCGAACTAGGAGGTAAGAAATTCACTCAGCATCTCAACCATATGAAGCCATCCCACGTATTATTCAGTCAATGACTTTTACACACTCCCAATAACGCTTCACTCTAACTTAAACTGTTTCTGACTCACGCGAACCATCGACTACATCCCTCCCTCAATAGCCGCAAATTTGACCATTACTCTTGATTCATCAGGGCATTCAGCTAGAAGTCTACGAAGCTAAAGTTATCTACAAAGTGTTACGAAACGCTACTCGTCATTCTGGCTAGGCTAGTCTTTTTGGAATGGGGTCTACGAATAATGTCGGGCACAATCCCGAAAGGGACCGATGAGGGATGTCGGGGAAGGACTTTCAATATCGAAGAACACTCCAAGACTTTGGAATTCTGCAAGGTAGAGATCAACCAATTTGCGAAAGACTAGCCGGCTTGATCATTTTGGTGGACGCTTTTTATTCAATGCCATGCTTGATATCACAGAAACGGCTAGACGTGTGCCTTTCACAAGCCCTAGATCCCCTGATTAAGGCAGCAAGACTCTTTAAAGTTGAAGCCATCTCAGGAAGCTCTCAAGATAATTACAAAGATAGCTGCAGTAGAATGAAGTTTCTCTCCAGATTCCCCTCTGCATAGGCATTCACGGATATACTTGACAAGTTCGATTTCTCTATATACAGCTATATCAATAACTCTCTATAGTTGACCGGTTCGAAACCAACAAGGGTCGGCTACATGTCGTGCGGCACTTTAATATCAAGTGGTAATTCTGGCGTGTTAGATTAAGTCAAGGAGCTTCAAGTCCTCCCTCAATTTTATATACACAGTGATGGAGGCATTGCAAGCCTATTCAGAAAGCCTCAGATGTTACACCCGCGAGCGAGAATATTTGGTTTAAGCGGCTATCCTTACACGAATCGTCAATCATGTTGGGAGGTTACCAGAGAAATAATATTTACCTGCGTCATGCTAGATCGGATTCGAAGGACGAGAAAATTGTTAGGCCAGTGCGAATAAAATAGATCCACGCCCGTAATGGCCCGAATTAGCCGTAGTAAGCAGGGACTCGTTCACTCTGTGCTTGAAGATTGGGATTTTCATGTATATGGGCGACTCGTTTGACTTCACGCGCTCAAAACAAGAGGACAAAGAGGCGATCAAGTCCTCTTCAATCCGATGCACCTTTGCCATTTTATTTCAGGATACAGTGTCATCCGAGATCGTTATGGTGTCCTCCTGAAGAGAGATGTGCAACACCCTCACTTATCAAGCGCATATATTGATTGCATCAACGCTAGAGTTCAGGTCATACTACGAGTAGAACTTAGTGAGGGAAAGAGCTGAGTCATGTAGTGCTCAAATTTGAAGAGATTAGAGTCATGCTAGGGGCTATTATTCTGTCACATGATTCAATGTATTTCCAATTATCTAGACTCAAATTTATCCCGTATCTTATGCCCACCTCGAAAGTTTCTATCAACTTTTAAAATCACTTCCACTGTAGATTTAATACACAAATACTACATTGGGCCAAGCTTGAAAATACAGCGCAGGTCTACCTTATCCATGAGTATATACTAGAATTACCAAAGTCCTTGTCATCCAGGACGAAAACGCGAGTGGCCTGACTTTTTCTTGCTGGATCCGAGCTTGCGTTCTCCAGTCTCAATTGTGATCGGTGCGGAGACCATGCAAACTCTACTCGTGGAGTTAGCCCTGCCATCGCTCCTATTCACACGGCCGGGGTCGAGCGGTGCGTGCGGCCTGTCTGAAAGACTTTGTGAAGCATCAGCAATGACTAATCAATCGACCTACAATATGTCGTAGCAGCAGTTGTGGTTGAAGAGGCCGCTTAGGCTGAGACAGCATCCTTTCCACAACCTGACTTTACGCATTCGAAGCGACGCAGGCGTGGCAAGCCCTCGACAGCTACCACAGAGTCTCGCTACATTACATGCCTCGGCCGCCGAGTCAGACCCTGTCTACTCGCTCCACCGCTCGAAGAAACTCTGAAACCAAAGGCTACGACGTTTGGCCAGTACTCGATGCATGCATGAAATGATGTTCCTTGGACCCTACTTCCATCCGCAATTGTATCCCATCCACATCAACTTTTGCGAAATGCCATTCGACGCAGAATCTTGTCTCTTTTCACGCAGCATTCAGTGAGGAATGATCCCAAATCACATGATTACCTCGGCATATTGTATCTCTATCGCACATGCTTACGCCGCGAATGATGCAAGGATTTTGTACTCCAAAAGTCAGTCACCTTGAGTCAAACGCAAGGCCGATGTGGAATTTATCTTGCAGACTTTACAAGGGTAGCAAGCTCGAAAGCCTGATGTGGTTGCATCTACATCTACAGTATAATTCTTCAGGAAAAGGATCTTGAAGTTTTCACACCCTGTCTAGCCAATTCTAGACAATATGCTGAGAAATATATCCCCTGTAATAATCCTTCGAAAATTTAGGTTACCCAGCCGATCCCGACATGAGAACCAAAGCTTTTTTGCATTGAACATATCTCTTCACACGGCATTGAGTTTAAATTTAGCAAGAAGATTTCAGAAAACCGTGGGACATAAAGTATTTGTACGTTGTGTCTATCACGGCCATAAACACCTGATCAGATTTAAGTAATCACGTCCCCTGGGTATTGTAATGCTTTTGGAATTATTCGCCCATTTCAAAGCTCGTTCTGCGCATGAATGATCACTTTGTTCGACTCCTGTCAAATATTTGGACAATTCATGGTATGCTGACTGATACTGAATTTTTTCCTGTGCCCTGGCCCCTTCGACTTGGCCAAATTTTCCTTCTGCTTACTTAAACCCCCCAAATTATCGCCTTTATTAACTTTCTACTAATTTTTTCTTTTTCCTCTCCTCAACTTTCACTAGGAGTGCACGATTGATATGAGGTAAGACTCCACCAGAAGCTATAGTGGCACGGATAAGGTCATCAAGCTCTTCGTCGCCCCTAATAGCTAGTTGAAGGTGTCGAGGCGTGATGCGTTTGACTTTAAGGTCTTTAGCAGCGTTCTAGTGCAGTTAGTCAGAGGGCTTAGAGTCAGTCATGACATGTCATGTTAAAATAGGCATACCCCAGCAAGCTCCAGTACTTCTGCTATCAGATATTCAAGAACAGCCGTAATGTATACAGCAGCTTTGGCCCCTACTCGCATCTTATTTTGGGAGGTACTCTTTAGGAAACGTTTGACTCTGCCACATGGGAACTGATTCAAGCGTTAGTCTAAGAGTTATAATTGATGAAATAAGAGCAGATGCATTAAATCTTAAAGTGCTAGTTGCCACTATATTCGTTTAAAATAATTCAGCGCCCCGAGGACTACGTTGGGATAATGCGTCAAATTTAATCTTCAGATGAGCCCGCTGATTGGTTGTAGTGTTGCAATTTTTTTCCAATGACAATAACCTCCTTAAATATTTTGAGTGACGCGACTTGATGGTTGATGAAGCCTCTGTCGTGTCTTCTGCTCTTGCTGGCGCAAATTCTCTGAGTGAAAGTGGAGAAATTTGAACCAAATCCATATTAATTTTGAAACTACTTACTATTAATCCAGCTCTTGATGAATGACTTTGTTGCTTCTTCGCGCCGTCGGGCCCTACCTTGCCGCCAGAAGAGTTCTCCTTACCGCCACCCATTTCCAACTTTTTAGGCTTGTTTATTTGGGACGACTGCAGATTCGAGGTAATCAAACGACAGTGTTTTGTTGTTAATAACGGACTATTGAGAGGATATGCTGCATCGAGTCCTTACGCGTTGCGAAGATATGTGCAGCCCAGCCATTTTTAGCGTTGTATACAAGCGAGCTTAATATTGTAGAGGGCGATGATGAGAACGTGCCCAGGGCTGAGATCTATCCAAAAGTGCTAGAAGTAGACTTATTCGTATGAGTATATGAGTAACTGCTTTTGAAATGGATGTATAATATATGAGCTGTACAATAATTGAGACTTAGTTTAACTTTATCTATATTGCGGGAGGTTTCCAACCCAATCAGTGGCCTTCGTGTTGGAGACTCTTTTCGCTAACTTCTTGTATGGAAATAGTGACTCACTATATCAAGTTTCCTCTGCTGATATTTCCATAGTCATCGAGAGGAGTGTCAGTTACATCTACCATATAGCTGTCGTTGTGCGTCCGGTTGAACGGTGAGTTTGGAGAAGGCAATTTTTTGGTTGCCTGAGGATCTATACCACGTGACACTTGCACGAGACTGATGCAGATAAAAGATAAATCATTGAAGCTTTTTCAATCTGGCGTTAACCTGTCCTGTCCGCACAGTGTGATCTAGTAAAGTGAGGAATATATTGCATAGCGCTCACAATATCTTTAGATAAAGTATTTTTCAAGGCGTCTCGCTACCCAACTTTAAATAAATAAATACCGCTTTGGCGTCCAAAGGCCACGCAGAATTTTTTCGGAAGATGTGTATTTGATGTAGAATGTCTCAGTTTCACGTTTGGAACACTGACACCCAGATTTCGTTTGCAGATACCACCCATGGTTAACACTTTCTATGACAAGCCAGGGGGACCATACCCAGCACCTGTCAATGGTGTCCCCTGCAAACCGCCAGCTCTCACTGTTTAGTATGCAGAGTCAACAGAGCCGAAATAAAGTACCAAGGTCCTCACTTCGATGAACATTCCCAATCACCTCTACGAACCTAGGAGTAAAATATTCTGCCAGGGCCAACTTCAGTCAAATTTCGCAGTACCGAACAAGTTGGCCCTAGAGGCAATGGTTCAAAATACTCCACCACGTCGTTTTTTTGGTCCCAACGAGTTCGACTCCTACCCAAGTCTCATCAAGTCTACAAGTACGACCTAGTACATCCTCATTCCAATGATCTCACCTCTCGTCGACTTTCTCTAGCCTCAGTTGACCACCAAATACACGCCCACGCCGATATTTACACCCGACGGAGGAAACAAAGCGCGGCGCACAAATCTGTGAGACAGTTGATTGGAATAGACATGAGAGATATTAGGAGAAGTTTACTGGATGATGCGGACGGTGGATACAGTCTCGACGGGCGTGGAATTTTGAATTTTAGCAAAGAGTTTTTACAAATTGAGCTTTGTGCGCACCAAGACTTCGATTGTGAGATTGCAGCTAACACTATAAACACAAGCCAACGATGGAAGGTACTTTGGTCAGCCTCCCGGCAGTGATCTCCGATATGATTTGAGTAGCCTGGACACCTACTTCACTTGGAAAGGAGACGTCTCAGACCACTTTTTGCGCGGAGGAAAGTAAGTAGATTATGAAGGCGTGTCTGGAAAACTCAAGCTTTTTAAGACGTTTCCCTGGATGGGTATTCATGGATGAGGGTTGACTTGAGGTGAAGAAAAAGTCGCCATAACTTGGCAGTGGTACTTGCAAATGAAATCTGAGGCATGAATGCTCTTCCTTCACGTTGAGTCATCTATTGTGTACTTTTTCTCTGATATTGTGTCATAGCTAGATAGCTGCATACTCCCAGGCACAGAAGACAAAGTCCCTTAAGCAATAATAAATTGGAGAAAATATTGTCCGAGCATGAATTTTGGCTATTCAAGAAGTTTTCAAGGTGACTCCTTCAGATCCCGTCCTTCTAGCGAATCAATCAAGAGATCAATAGCTCCTAAACTTGTGGCCTCCCACTGCAAAATCATCATCTCGGATGGGAGTGAATAGGGTCGTGGATTCAGCCTCCAAAGCTATTTGCAGAGGTGAGATAAAAAATCTCTGGTCATCGCAGCAAGTTCAGAGGTATTATTTACAGCCACCACCCCAACTCATACTCTTCTTCCATAGAGAGTTATACGTCCCCTTCAAGTTTGAGATTCCCAGAATGGGACACTCCACGGATCCCTCTATAATACCGACACAAATTTTCTTTCAGTTCAACAATTTTAGGCCGCTGCAGGCGAAGATTCAAATATAGCATAGAGTCTGCGGCGCATCTTTAGCTGGCTTTCAGATGACTGCGGCAAGAATGCTGTGTCTTTGAATCTAGCTCCGGTACAGTGCGAACTCGTAGTAGCGATATTCGATATAAATATATTCGCCTTATAACAATTTCTTCTTCGCGCGCGCATTAATTTCCCATACTAAATTAAAACAAATCAACGATATTCGATTCGCTGATGTCGCCGTCGACATTTTATCGTAATATAGAATGACTGTCACATGATGTAACCACTGTCATTGGCTGAAGCCCGATTATATTTAGTTTTATGCCTACATATCAAGGCATAAATTACTGTTTCCTAGTTTAATTCCAAGAATGTCATGCACTTCCCCACACGACTCCTTAGGCCTGGTAAAAGTCTGGATCCGCCTCATGGAAATATATTCTTAAATGGCGACTAAGATGACAGACAAGATGACGAGAATAATGAGGTGGAGGAAGTCACGGCTATGGATATCATTTAATTTTGATTTTATTTCAGCCGATTTGACGCCCTGTGGGCCCATGCAGGCAGTTGTGAACCTATCTATATATTTACTTGAGAGAGAAACCATCACGATAAAAAACCCCTCACTATATTAAATTTAATTTTTGTCTACAGTCCTTCGTTACCTACAGGAAGTGCAATTGGCCTTGAGTCCGAGAGAGGACTAGCTAAACTTGTATTGTACCTCGCCATTCTTTCCTTGCCCTTGCGTGCTTAAAGAAGACGACTGTGGTCTTGAACTTGACCCCGATGGTCCCAATACTTGTGGTGGGAGATTGACGAGGAGCTGTTTGTGCGGGTATCCTGGCCCTGTGTTGAGTGCTTCCGGCTTTTGGTGGGACACCGGCGTGAACCCTTGGTCGTATGTAGATTTTGCCGTAGTAGTTATTGTAGATGCCGTTGTTGATGTCTCTCCTTTCCTGAATTCCACTGTTCTCTCCATGAGTTCATACCTAGCCCTTTGAACGCTGGCATTGTACGCCGCGAAGTTTTGACACGCCCCTTTCTGCCACGATTTATGATCCTTGCCGTAGTTGCAACAAAGTACCGATTTTTTCAGGCATTCCCCAGTCTAGTGAGTGCCCGCGCACTTACCATATCTCCTTGCCTTATTGCAAGAGGCTTGGGTATGCCCCCATTGACAGCAGTTGAAGCACTGCTTGATTGGTGCTCGGAGTGACCAGAGTTAGGCCGTGTAAAGCATACAGTTGTAGACAATGCCATTTCTTATCACTTCGCATTGAAGTGCCTCTGTCGGCAAACTCGCGAGGATTGATCCTTGAGTGTGGCCGTTTCTTCCCATCCATCGGTGCTGCTTTCCGTCGAAGAGCCATCTCACCCTTTTTATTTTTAGTTTGGGCATCCGAACTTTTGTTTCTGTCACAATTTGGTTTCTAGAATCACCATTGTTTGGATTTTTTCCTCCTCGTATAAAGGTCCCCAAGATTTCAACAGGGTATTCCTGCATTAGGACGTAGAGCTCCTTAGGTTCCGCCATACTCAAGGCAGCGTCTCCCTAGGAGATCGACTGTACATACACCTCCGTATCATTGCTCCGCATCTTTTTTACTGCGTATACTCCCTCAATATGTTTTTTGGCCTTATCTAGGAGCTCTGCTAGCTCCATGTTTACTGCTCCTTGTATTCTCATCCGCGCTGCCGCTTTAGTCGCTGGTGGTGCGATGATTTAGGCGTATGTGGGCTGCCCTCCAATTCCTTGTACTGCCGAAGCAGCCGTCTTGTGCAACGGCTCCTCAAGATTCTTCGTGACTGCCTTCTCCAAGGCCAGCTTGCGTTATTCCATTCGGGAAGCCTTTATCTTCGATAGCAACATCGTAGTGTGGGCTTTGAAGGCATCAAGTGCCTCACCTATCTCGACCATCGGTGTCGCAGATCTATCAGTGCCTGCCATCACCAGTCTGTCTATGACCTTGTTAAGATAAAACCCTATTGTCTTTAAAGTCTCCATGTTGACGCCTGTGGAGGTCGCGAGAGACTCTACAGCCGTAATTGCGGCGGTTCCGTTGTCCATTGGAGGTGGTTGTGGCTCCGTGAAAATATTCTGAGGTAAAATCCACCTTTCTGGCGCTCCAACTCGCCATGCCGAAGCGCAACGTGATAAAATTGGGGAATCAGACAAGAACTGATCAAAATGATAACAATCATAAAAACGATGAAATAACTTTCATTGCGCGTGGTGCCGCTTTTGACCCTCAAGGATATCGTTGCTGCACATACTATGCCACAGGAGGACAAGGATGAGGCAGCTGAGCCGCCATCTACGATTAATTAAGCACTAAATGGCCTCTAGCGCCTGCTCAGATCCAAGGAGCATGAGCCAGATACTAACTCCATGGACCTCAAGATACTCATGCGCTTGGAAAGAAGCCTCCAGCAGTAGACAGAGCTCAATCTGAGTCAAGGGACATTATACAGCTGGTTTAAATAGCATATAGGATAAAACGATATATGGTTTGATGGGCTATGAAGCTCGAAGATATTATCAAGCGGCCTAGGTATTAGAATGTTGAGTAAGTGGGGCTATCAAGTAAGCCACGTTGTCGATACACACCTGGCTACAAAGTTTGTACAAATTTTATACTTAAATAATTTAATGTGTATTCAGATATCTGGCTATGACACATGACCGGTGCTATGTATACATGTTGGATGACTATTTTGACGTTAGAGACACTCATACTCTGGATTTCATTCGCAAATACCACCGTAAGGTATACTTGCTTACACAAACAGTCGACCCTCCTCCGTGAGTACCCACCAAAGGGAATTTCGTAACCTTTGGTTATCCAAGCATGCCTTCGTCATCCATGCATACCAGCGCCGCGAGAAATGTGGTTGTGTTTTGCCGGATCTGAACCAGCGACCTACTGCCTCGAGTGGGATATGTGTCCAAGCTATCCAGACTCTACTTGGCAGACCGTCCAAGACGATGTACCACTGCACCATATTCTGTACTTAGTTTTACTTCGGTAGTCACTTGAATTAATGCGCCCTACAACCTCAATGACAGAGGGCTCATTATTTCCGTAATACTAAGTAATTAAACATGTTTGCACGTTGTGTCACGTGATTGTGTTCTCCACTAAAACGTCACGATACAATAAAGCGACACGGAATCACCTCGTTATAACCAGTCCGCACTGTGCTATTTATTGGAGAGCTCCACAATTATTGGCATTCGCGATTTTCACAGCTACGATAATCCTGAATATAGTATTCATCCAATTACCTTAAGCATGGAGACGATAGAGGGTCCAAGGCTCTGCTGTACGTATCAAATATTGAGGACTCTTGGCAAGAGGCACTGCTGGATAGGCGATGTGGAAGAGGTTGAGGCAGAAGGAGTGTTCTGAGTTGGCATGTCGCGTTTGCGGACGTGCTCAACAACAGAGTTCAACAACGAGCCAAAACGAATTGGAAAGATTCCTTTGTCCATGTACACATGTGGATACAGCCGACTGACGGTGCGATCTAGAACACACACACGGTGCGATCTAGTGTCTAAATTTTCTCTAGTGGGCCCGTACTCCGACGCACACATAAATACATATCCATGGAAATTCAGACTAGTTTTACCAGTCAACGGGTCTGTTAATATAGAGTCTTCAGCTAGAGAGTTTACTTTACCTTTTGAAGCAATTTTTGGCTCGTCGCCCGGGTCTAGGCTCGAGTGAAGTATCTGGCCTCGCAAAGGCCAGAAATTTATTTGGCGGCTCACAGGTGACGAAGTTTCAGAGTCCGCCCAGTGCCATTGATTCAGGCTAAGGGTATGAGTTCCCCGCCGGCTCCGCCATCCGAATGCCAGAGATGGTCGAGGCCCTGCTCAAGAATCTCATAATTTAAATATAGTGAAGAGCGTCTATCGCCATGTCCATCTATGGCCAATGGACTAGTGGGGCCACGACGGCGAGGATACGCCCACAAAACACCGCAGAATTTTGCATCTGTGTATCTTGGAATACCAAGTTGGCTTGGGTAGCGGATGAATTTCCCATTGAATCACACGGATCGCTATGCCGGGGCCGAAGGATTACGATTATTGCGCCCGTGGATCTCTCGGCGCGTCTGTGCAGGGTACAGAGACTGTTACAATGGTCTGGCATAATCCTGACATATTGATCCGAGGGAATCTGGAAAAATATGTGCAGGATTAGATGGCTATCGCTAACAGCGACTGCGTAGTGCAGCTATGCCTTCTCGCTCTACGGCTAATCAGACTCCAGGGAGAAACGGAAATCATGTCTTTACTCACAATGAGGTCGTCTGCATTTACTCTTATCAGTGAGGTCCTTTCTCTGCCATCTCATCTTATACCTTGTGTAGCTCCACACCGCCCAAAATCTCCCTCCTGGCGCACCTTGGGCATCAGTTTCAATAGAAGGGATTCATGCCTTTGATGGCTCCTAGCGCGCTGTGTGAGTCCATGAGACTCCTTTGCATAAGACCTGATGGGTACAGTAATCTGGTACCAAGATTGGACAACCTTGGATTCTTATCTCTTTCCCATCTTTCAGTTTTACTTGTAAAATGTAAGGCCCGAGGAGAGTGTAATATTCATGTATAGTTCGATATCCAAGCATGGCACGATAAGACGCTGCCTTTCTCTGGCCGTGATTGGCCTGTCTAGGCGCCAACACGTCGGCCTATCTTGCCAGGAATGGACCAAGTTGGAAGAGTCACGTGCTGCGCAGGAGTACCACCTCTATCAACTATCAATGAGGCCCGACAAGGGCTGGTGGTCGCACGCAACATCGTACTCCGATTGCGTCGGAATTCTTGAACATTCCAGGCTTCATTGGCGCATTATCCTTCAATATCACGCAAATTTGGAGGTTAGCGGTGTCTGGATAATAGAAGGTATTAAGGTCATGGTGGAGCATGTAATTCTGAAATTTTGAGATGCAAGGCGTGGGTCCATTGTGGAGTTGTGAACGCCTCAGGGGCCTCAGGATCGTCGGGAAGCTTAGTAGAGCCTATACTAACGGGCACCGCTAGCACAACGTCACTGATTAACACAATCCGCCGTCCCCGAAAAGACAGCCATATTGTTTGCGGGGGCTCGGTCCCAAGTGCCTCAAAAGGCCTCGACAAGAGAGGAACGGAGCTGCTGGTGAAGGAAGTGGCGCAGAGGCGCCCCACTACTGGTTTGAAGGGAGATGCGAGCCTCGTAGCCATGCAGATATCATCGTTGAAGTATAGAATCCGGCGTCTAGAGGTTGGACGTAGATCCACGTACTGGTTCTCTGCGCACGACTTGATGGACTAGCTGGGGTTTGAGGCAATTGGCCAACAGAACTCCGGTCCAAGAAATCTATACAACTGTCGATCGTGGCACGACTTTTTCACGGCAGTTTCTGGGCAATGAAGAGAGATTCTGAAATTAGAGTGGTGTGTAGTGTGATGGCGCGTGGGAAACTTCGCAATATCCTTCATTGCAAGACAGTGTGAGGACTGAGGGGAAGGGAATGAGGGAGGCAGCGGCTAGGCCTCTCGGCACCGGAGAAGATGCGGTGTCTGGCAGAACAGCGGCAAGTACGTAGGACAAATAAATGTGTGGGGGAAAACGGTGGATCAGCTCTATGGATTGCAAATATTGTTGACGGGCCACAAGCGCCTAGAATGGTCTTGGGAGATCACCACAACAACCCACGCTACGAGGGCCAATTCACAGCGACTATGCTGAGCTGCTCATGTGAGCTTTGGTGGGCTCCTGGTCATTTCCTCTCTCCTCTCACACCCGGTCGCTTTCGTGGCCAGGCTTTGTAGTCGGTACTCGTTGGGGGTTAGGCGACGGGCGGGGGCGCGTCTCATTTTAAATGCAAACCAGGAGCGCGGGGTAAAGAGGCTCCAGCTATCTAAATTTGTCCTGAGCTAATTTTGGTGCCGGCACGTCGGGTAGTACGATGGACTGAGCTAGTCGGGGCATGGGAGAATCATGGACCCCGCATTGGCGCAGCACCAAAACAAGGCAAAATGAAAATCAAATCACACTCGAGCCTCATTCCAGGCGAGGTTTAGCTAGTCAAGTAGTGGAAATCTTGAGCAGGAGTCTCGGCTTAATGAGGTCGTCGCAAAATGAAGTGAGGCTCAAGGCCTCGCTTCAGTCTCCGAGAGGCAGTCCAGGTCGCACGTATTCTGGTCCTTGTAATTAGCTCAGTGAGAGCCTTCACCGGGACACTACCGTGACAAGGCGCATGTTCCGCGAGATTCGCTTTGTTTTGGCCGAGTACGGAAACGGAAATGCCTCCGCAGCTGACCTTCGCTTCGTGGTCCTTCAAGCGGCCAAGATCATGTCGATGGTAGATGAACGTGCAAATCAGGAACTGTACATAACATTGGGGGTCAAGTTGTGTTGCTGACCCGCCGTCATGTGATGAGATATCAAGCCTTGGCAAGTCATGCTAGAGATGGCTAGCTTACCCTTTGGTCACGTGGGGTGTGTCCAAGTCCAGGCCCGAAAACGATCCGAGACCCTGCTTCGGACCGTTAGATCGACTCAAAATGGGATGTGTCGGGTTGCAAACTAAAGTCGCTTGTTCGGGTTGGAATCGTCGATCCCAGCCGACATGGGTCAGGCAGTGTGATGGGGACCAATGGCGCTAGTGACATGGACCCTCAATATTTGACACGTCTCGCTAAACCTTGCCTTCCCGGTAGTCTTGCACCCTCAAAAGGTTGAAAGGGATGCGCAACACCATGCTCCACTGGTCTTCCATTATCAGAACTTTTGCGGCTGCAATTCGGCATGGGGTACCCTTTATCCAAGGCAGTGCAAAATTCTAGGAAGGAGACCCGGGAGCGATCTAAACATCAAAGGTATGGAGGGTTTATGGAAGGATTCAGGACGGATCCCGAATGTGGAGCTGGCCAGCAAAGTGGAAAAAATAAGAGGAATCTGATAAGGTATGCATTCTAATGCTCCAAGTACTGTTGATTTCGTTACGCCCTTCGAGCCTGTCTTTCCAATTCGAAGCCTACATGCAGAGTGAGGAGTAGTCACCCTGTAGCATTGTTCTTACCGATAAGATAATCAGTCAAATCTAGCCTCTCTGTACCTGCTGGGCCCGTTACAGAATCGTAATACATACGTGATTTCTTCTTGGGCCATCCCCCAACAGACGATATCAAACTCCTCTCGAATCTAGGGGCCAAGCGCATTCAGACTGAGCTCGGCTCATTTGGAATCAAAACGTGTGCATACAGGTGTTTCCATAAACGGATCATCGTTGGTCTCGCAAACTTTGTCTACTGCCGGGGACACACCTAGTAGGCTAAGAAATTGCTAAAACTGAGCCAAGCGCTCTCATTGCCGGATGATCCAAGGAGAAACCGTAAGACTGAAGGCCATCCCTAGAAAACTTTAGGTAATGGCGGTGGAGAAAGGGTTCCAGTGTCTCGGCTAGAGTCTATAATTATAGTTTTGCAATGCTAAGTGTGATGCATTCGCCTGATGCAAAAAAGTCGTCCGAAAAGTTGTCATGGCATCACGTCCCGACTCAAACGAGATGGAGGTTAGGTCAGGCTCTACAAGCAGTAGTCGTACTCTAGAGAAGGGGACAGCTGGTCGGCCACTTCGGCTTCTGCTGGCCAGTGGTTGAAGCTAGTTTGAAAGGTCTGGACCAGGTCACGGGAGCGCGACAGCAGCATAATAGGACTAGATGATGCAATTTAGGCGTTCCAGAAATACTGCCTACCACCATGGATATCTAGGGTCTCTATTAACTCCATGCACCATCGTCTAGCTGGCTAGGACCAGAACTCGCCCTCTCCCCTACCGGATTTAGCACTCACGACAAAGGGCCGACTCATTGTGAAACCTTTCCGTAGTGGGTCTCAGTATTGGCAAAGGTGAGGCGTGTGAGCTTCATGGCAACTCTGATGTGAAGTTAAAACTTTGTCTGCGACTTTAACGTTGGGCGAACCTCCGACTGCACGAAGTTCGAGCAGCAGGCAAAGCGGGAGTGTTCTTTTAGCTAAGCAATCTCGTAAGCGGGCCCCTTCTCTCTGCTGTGACCCTCGTCTTCCATGTACTCCCAACCCGTCGACAGGGAAGCCAATAGTAAAGTGTCTTTCCACCACGGAGCTTTAATTTCCGACAGGGGTGAGGTGTCTCGCTTAGCCCTGAATAATCCCGGACGAAGCCGACACGTTAGAATATGTCATGAAGCTGATGCAGAAGTTGTCGATTTCCAATTACCAATACCACAACCACCACCATCACCGCGAACTTCCCCTTCCTCTCCCGGCTCAAGTTTCGCGTTTCTACATTAGCATGTTTCCACCTAGCCAATTTCTCCGAGAAACCTACTCTTCAACGGAGCCAGGGGCCTCGTACACCCATCTCGGCTCATCTTTGGCCAGAGTGTCTCCAGCTTTCTCTCACAAGACCAGGACTCCTTCTACCTCAACAGTCCAGAGGCATTGTCGGCCTCAATCTCCACGATTCAAATAAGGTTGCGCCGTTGGCTTGATAGAAGCAGTGGATCCAGTGCTTGTTACAGGTAATTGGATCTCCGTCCATCTACTTACCTGTACGATTCGTGCATCCCATGCTAAAGCTTTCCTTGCCCTTCGAATCCTTCAAACGTATCATTTGAGATATCCTCTTACAATCCTCCCAAACGTTTCCGCGCCTCTAGAGTGGTCTTCTCTTATTCCCTGCCCGGTGGAGCCTACTAGGACGAATCCTAAGATTCCTAAAGGCAAGTCTGGAAATATATCAGGCGCGGCCCCGCAACTCTGAGTCGTCAGTATCTTGCACATTTTCAATTACGCCCCATTCATAGCGGGACTTCTGTTGCATGCCCCTGCCAACCGGACAATCTCCAACTCAAGCATAGGATACACATCAAAAACAACACTCTATCTGACAGCGTAAACTGGGTACGATTCATTGATCTGACTTGCCACCACAATCAATAAAGCAAATTAAAATCATGTCCAACACGGGTGCAAATAGTTCCGTACCGGATACGGCTGATGAGCCCAGGAAAAAAGGTAGGAACAGAAGTCGAGCCAGACTATCAACTAACATTCTATAGGTGCGCGAGGCGGTAAACGTTCGGTAACACACCTAAGTAAAGCTCAGCTAGCACGCAAACGTGCCAACGACCGAGAAGCCCAGCGAAATATTAGACAGCGGACCAAAGAGCATATTGGGAACCTCGAGAGAAAGGTCAAAGAATTAGAACAAAACGGCCGATCGGGTAGCATGGAAAGAGTGCTCAAGCGAAATCAGGATTTGGAGGCCGAGATTGAAAGACTTCGCGCTCAGTTATCGGCAAGAGCAACCGGCCAACCTACGTCGCGCATATCATCAGAGATTCCCGAGGAGCTCTTGATGCCATCTAAAGTTGAGCTGGAATGGATTCCCGCAACTTCATCGTGGAATAACCCTGATATACCCTCTCATTCCAATGGCTCTTATCCCTCGAGCGAGGCACCATCTTATACCCCCAACTCATATGAGGACGAGCAGCCCCAACCCTTATACTCATCAAATGCTAGCCCTGTCTGGAACGAGCAAGTAGTCTTTGGATCGAATGGCTCCCAGCCCCTCTCGAAATCTTCCCAGGCATGGGCCTATCAAAGCTCTTATCCATCCTCACGCTTCTCTTCTCCGGTGCCGAGTCAAACAAGAAATTTCAGCGAACAGGTTAACCCTTCGTCGTATACTCCCCCATGCTGGCAGAGTCAACCATCAATTTACGCCTGGCAAATGTCAACCAAAATGAAAACTCCACATACATACATTGATCAGCTCATGATAAGCGTATGAATTTCTCCTGATGATGAAATATTTCTAGTGCTAATCAAACGCAAACAGAAATAAAAACTCAACGAGAATCTTCACTCTTAACGTCGATTAGACATCTAGCAGTGCCCCTCGTCATGCTATGCGATTCATTTCTCTCCGTCCCCTCATAGCCAATGGTCCACCTAATTGTTTTGCACCAGGTACTACGTCAAATACGTTTCCTCTCACCACTATCATTTGTCATTGTCACTACCGTTAGAGTGTTATCATTCTTTGTTCAAGCAGTAATTCTACTGGAACTCCCATACACTGCTACACAACCTTCGTTCTATAGCTAGATCTTCGCTATCATCCTACCAACATATGGAATTATCAGAAAAAACATCTATTTCGAATCTAGACGGCAAATCCGCAACAAAATACTATGACAAAATCTTCAAACGCAGCAAAGAAACACCAAATTATCTGTGATATTGAAGAGCTAATCACTAACAGGTCACACGAAGCCCTAGCCGTCTCTACAGAAGGACGAAATGAGTGGAACTTTTATAGCGATGCAATTCAGAAACTTACGATCATATTCGGGCATAAGGCTCGTTCTGACGACACCAGGCTAGAGCAAAAGGTGTTTGGGAAAAGAGGGCTTAGGCTCGAAATCATGAGCATAATGGAATCAGAGCATTCTGTCCATCAGTTCTCCCAAGTCAATAGCTACTTGAACTTTCAATGGTGTTCACAATGAGAACTATCGTAAATAACAATCTTTAATCATCCGGATCAATTCCATCCCGGGTCAATTTAAGTCGTAAGGATTTTGGATACCCTTGGCCACTTATTAACTTCAATCGTGTATTTTGAAAGGAGTTCTGTCATTTGCTTGCATGGAGTTAATTCTCAAATTAAATGAGCATTTGTAGGGTGGGTAGTTTAAATAGCGTTGCATATTTTTGGAGACGGGGACAGTGAGGTTCACAAACATAGTATGATATATGAGATCTCGACGGCCAAGTTTGCTTCATGCCGTGCTACGAATTTATTACGGTAGTCAATTAATGCCAAAACTTATTTAACCACTCTTGTGTGTTGAACTCCCGTAGAGTTTTTGATTACGACGATAACTAGGCGCTCGTGAGCAAGACAGCAACTTTGATCATGCTCACGTGATATAAAGACTGTCCGGTCAAATCTTGCGAACTGTGAGGTTGTTCAACATCTCGCTCCAGCGTACTTTACCCGGTTGGGTGTATAGAGCAAGGGGCTAAGGCTCACTATAATTAGACGTAAAATAATACAAAAAACATATCGCTCCATCACGATCGCTTTGGCCATAGATCGGTGTTTAGTCAACACTAGTGTAGCCATAGATATTCATAGTTTACATCCAAATATTTAGGTATTTACGACGACAGATTAACCACTTGGCTTGTCAAATATCGGTAGGGGAGACGTTGGTCGGGACAACTTGTGCCAGCAGTGATAACAATCTGTTTTCCATACTTATTGAATTTTGCAGCTACCTAGCTACAACCACCCATGTTTTGTATGTAATTCCCAGGCTTCAGCAGGACGGCTATCCCAAAGTCGGGCAATCTGGTGCAGGATCAGTCTCATCAGTCACGTCCTAATCCCACAAAAACCTCTTGAAATCAAACTCATCGGGCCTGGAACGCACAGAGCACTCCTATGTTCAAACACAGACCCTCGAATGTCAACATGTATTCATGGCAAAGTTTAAATGATCTCTGCGAGACTGAATAGAAGGCCGTAATCGAAGCACCCTGTGTCCTTGCCGAAGTTCACAGCGTGTCTTTTCTAGGGGTCCAAGACCTTGACAGACCGGGGGTCTCGTCGAATTTCGCCGTTACGTGCTACGAAAAAACCTAGCTCATTCCGTCCAGTCGACTTCTAAGCTTGCATTGGTGGCTAATCACCATTCGATTTGACGTCAACTACGGTCTACCCGCGACCAAGTTCGTGTGAAGAGATTATTTGTTGTTTGTGCGTGTTTGTCTGCCATATTTTGCGACCCTTTAAAATCAAGCTTAATGTTGAGTGATTTGTGCCAATGGACACGTGGGTAGCGATACCTCTTCAACCGTGTGAGAAACCTTCGCATGCTCGGACGATGAGGTATGCTTTTTACTAGTACGGGTTTCACTCATGCTGCGAAGTCTAGCATTACAGAGGCTATGTGTGAAGAACAAATCCAAAGTCATCAAATCGCAGCTCCTCGAGCTTCTCGGCCGGAGGGCAAGACTGAACACCTGTACGCGGTGTCCTCTACGAACCTGGGACTGAAATATTCTCCCAGAGCCAAGTTCAGTCAAATTTTGCAATATCAAAGAAGTTTGCTCACGAGGCAATGGTTCAAAATACTCCATCACGTCAATTATTATTTTTAATTCATTCTATTGTCCTTTCTAGGTCTATGACTATGTAGGAAGTGCAAGTCCCCTCTGCTTACAGGCCAAGGATACCTATGCCAGTAGTATATCCCCTCCTATGCCTCCCATATAGCTACCCTCAAACAGCACCACCACTCGCAAGTCCTCATTCGATCATACACTTAAAGGAGCCCTTTGCCCTTCATTATCTCCCCTCTCCAACTAACGAAGCGATGGCCATTTGTGGGTGTATGGCAGCCGGGAAAAATCGCAAAAGCCACTGGGTGCGGAGCTCTCCTAATACCGACGTTAGGACTAAATCCGAAGACATAGTGACCCTTTTGATGCGTTCGAAGAGTCCGGCTAGCTGGGCGCTGCAGACTTGTGTGTACCTCGGGAAATTCACTCTCTACCTGTCTAGCCTCTTTCCAACTCCTTCCCGAAAGTCGTGCTGAAATGTCAGAAAATTCTTGACAGAGCGTGATTGCTGTATAGTAGCTTAGCCCAACTTCTTTTGTACCGTGCAGGGCGCTTGGGAGTGCCGTTGACTCATCGACAAACGAAGCCCTCCTGGCTAATTAGCCGAAATCTTGATCTTGACGCCCACAAAAAATCCAAAATTGAATACTCCTCGAAAATGTCAGTCCCAGCGTGGTCTTCGGAGATCTATTCCCCCTCTCGCTCCATATCTCAGCCGCCTGTTCTTCCTCAAATTGTTTGTCCCATTAGAGCAACAGTATCCCATAAGCCAAGACCCAGGCTTTGTATTTTTCGACTTGATTTCCTCCTTGCGGGTATAAATAGCGTCGTAAATATGAAGTGAGTAATGGCTGGAGATTAATGGGGCAAGCTCCTGTTTGCAATTGGAGCAACATCTTTATTGGTCGCTGAGGCGAGATGATGCGTGGTCAGAGATGAGTTGAGGACTCAGATGATAATGATGAGAGAGGCATTGTCGAGAAGTTGTCAAATGGAGATGTGTATGAGGTTACTTTCGACTTCGATTCGGACGCAATTCTTCTTGGCTATCCTAGATATGCAAAGCACACTGAGCGTTTACACCGGCACCACTGGAAGGTGAAGAATTCGTCTTTGCCGGCCCACCACGTCAATTTTTCGCTCCCTAAGAGAATAACTTCTACCTGAGCCTCATCAAGCTTACAATTACGACCTAGTACATCCTCATTCCAATGACCACGCCTCTTGTCGACTTTTTCTAGCCTCAACTAGTCCCCAAATACACGCCAACGCCGACATTTACCCTGACGGAGGATGCAAAGGATAGATACAGTCTCGACGGGCGTGGAATTTTTGAAGCTTGGTAAGGAGTTTTTAAAACTTGAGCTTTGTGCGTGCCAAGACTTCGGTTGCGAGAGTGCAAGCGAAACTATAAACACCGCCATGGCTGGATGGTGCGGTGGTACATCGTCTTGGCCGGTCTGCCAAGTAGAGTCTGGATAGCTTGGACACATATCCCACTCGAGGCAGTAGGTCGCTGGTTCAGATCCGGCAAAACACAACCACATTTCTCGCGGCGCTGGTATGCATGGATGACGAAGGCATGCTTGGATAACCAAAGGTTACGAAATTCCCTTTGGTGGGTACTCACGGAGGAGGGTCGACTGTTTGTGTAAGCAAGTATACCTTACGGTGGTATTTGCGAATGAAATCCAGAGTATGAGTGTCTCTAACGCCAAAAGAGTCATCCAACATGTATACATAGCACCGTTCATGTGTCATAGCTCTATAGCTGAATACACTTAAATGATAAAAAAAGAGCTCCTTGGTCAAATGAGATTAGGTCAAGGCTTTAATAGTTCTACACAATGCGACTCACAAACTCTCACACGTTCATGGACAACGATCTCGGAGATATTCTATGACAGTATTCGAGTTTCTCCCAAATATCTAAAGAATTCTTACCTTCCTTTTTAATTTCGCCAAGGCACCCGGAATCAGTCGCAGCATGAGGGGCTTAGTTTATCACAGAAAAATTTAGTCCGCTAGCTACCAATGTCAGGAACATATCATATTTTGAACTTTCTTAAACTGCACATGTTTTATTCAGTAACTAATGGAGTCAAAAACTCCAATAATACCCGTGATCATGTTCAGTAACAAATCACTTTGATCTGGAATTAAAATCTGAAACAAAAGATATGCACGCACAAGTCTGAAAAAGTGGTAAAGGAAGCGCCACAGATATTTTCCTTTAACTGAAATTCTCATCTGTTTTAAAAACCTCAGTAATTAGTCTGACACATGCAACATGGCCCGAATATATTCCATGTTAACTGCGGCTCAATCACCGTTGAAGCGATAATTTCTGGAGCATTGGTAACAAATAAATCTGTCCCAGAATGAGCGAGAGACATATCACGGTTAAAGGCGCCTCAGTAAAAATTTGCATCTACCAGAGGACTCTTTCAGCTTGATGATCTTGGGCCTCTACAAGCCTCATAGTTATGTTTCGCCATCTATTAAAATATTTTAATTTCATGCAGAATTATATGAGGCCAATGGTACATCGGCAGTTCCCCAACTCAATCCTGTTCGCAATATTTGACGTTTAAGTCCTTTCCGAAAATATTGCATTAAGAGTTGAAATGCGATTTGCTTCCTCACTAAATAGAAACA